TAGAAAATTGATTATGGCTATCTAATTTTCAATAGTTATGCAGTTACAGTTTTTCCCTTGATACCGTCATATTAAAACAAATACTTGTTTTATTAAACCTTATTTTTTTAGATAGGTACATTTAACTAATGAAATTTTATCAGAACAATTTGTAAAATTGTAACATTTTACACAAAATTAATGCATTTTACTTCAACTAACTTTTCACATACTCCTTTTTTTAAAAAATTTGTTTTACTAAATCAACTATAATCATGTGAACTTCAATAGTTTAGTGAAAAAAAAAACAAAAAAACTTATGATTTATGTAAAATTGTATTTCAGTCTAATTGTATTTCAGTTTTGTTGTTCTTAAACTTGAATAATCAATACAAGTAGTCTGTCATCGACCAATCGGTAACCAGTGCATAAAATGCACAACTTTCAACTACCAGGTCACAGGTTTGAACTCTATTTTATCTAAATGATTTTGATTAACCTAACAGTACTACTACTAGTGTTCATTGAAGAACAATGTGACTCATAGTTAAACATATTAATCTGTACTTAATGAGTTAGATTTTTTTTCTAAAAAAACGTCACTTTAATAACGTGAGCTTAAGTAATACCACGTGAATTATACATTTCTTTTCATTCAGAATATACACTGATTGATAGTCTATGTTCTTAGGAAAAACCCTTAACTAAACAAATAGTTTTAAACAAAGAATATTTATTGAAAATATATTTGAACTCACAAATCGATCAATGTTAGACCACCAAAAGAAACCTGGAAGCACTGGACGGCCGTCAAGTCCTGGTATGGAACTCATCAGCTGTGCGCATCCACGACTCCTGCAACTCGTAGGACTTGAACCCAAGACCTTCGCTTAACCTCTGGACCAGAGAGCCAGTATCTAACTGTGTTAATGTCTAACCTCGATCACTTCAAATGTGTAACTTTAAAATCTTCACAACCCCCGAAATGAGAATATATTTTTTTTTATCTAACTAAACGTTCAACAATTTAACTGCTAACCTAATAACATATTTTAATAATTAGGTAAGATTATGATTGAAGATTAGGTCTGTGTAAACAATTTTACATTTTCCTTCTGTGACACGTTATTTTCATGATTTACAAGTGACAAATTGAGGTAATATTGAGGTGTAAGAGAGAAAGTGAGAATGTTTACTAATCAGTAAATAGTCTCAGATGATAAATCTTGTTCCTATTTAACGTCTGTGCTCGAACACGTACGCCAATAAACAATTTTATCCTAAAATTAAACAATTATCTCGTGTTATTTTGTCTTCGGTAAAATTCTAATTATTTTATCATAACTAATATATCAGTGTGCAAGATTCTACGATACAACACAACATGCACCGACCTAATCACTCTTGATGGAGATTCCTTGGGGGACGTTAACACCTTTACATATCTTGGCAGCACCATCGACAATCAAGGTGGATCCGATGCAGATGTGAGGGCACGGATCGGCAATGCAAGGGCAGCATTTCTACAATTGAAAAATATCCGGAACTCCAAACAACTATCAATCAACACTAAAATCATGATTTTCAGTACAAATGTCAAGACAGTTCTACTGTATAGAGCGGAAACTTGGAGGACTACGAAATCCATCATCCAGAAGATACAAGTATTCATTAACAGTTATCTACGCGAAATACTTCAGACCCGCTGGCAAGACATCATCAGCAATAGCTTATTATGGGAAAGAATAAACCAGATTCCAGCGGAGGAGGAAATTAGGAAGAAGCGGTGGAAGTGGATAGGACACACATTGCGAAAAGCACCTAACTGAGTCACGAGACAAGTCCTCACATGGAACCCTCAAGGTCGAAGGAAAAGAGGAGAGATATGAGAAGAATGAACGAAAACTGGAAAGAAGTAGAAAGGGAAGCCCAGGACAGAATTGGTTGTAGAAAAATGGTGGTCGGCCTATGCTCGATTGGGGGTAATGGGTGTAAGTAAGTAAAGTAATATATCAATGTATACAAAGAACATTTTCTAAAATTTCATTAACTGTAAAATAAATAAATAAAACTAATACTAATCGGTAGTAGGACGAATGGTCGAAAGTAGAATTTTACCATAACTCTTTTGATCAATATTCCAACTAATATTCGTTGTTTGCCTAATAAACTGACGAATTCAAGTCCAAGGTGGTTTTTTAAAAAAACGGTCTCTCCATTAACAATAAACTATGAATGCTTCTTTTCACATGAAGACAAACTGGCACTTTGAGAATGAGATACGTCACCACATGTATGTTACGCTTACAAATAGTAGGCTGTTACATTAGAAAGACATAGTGAGGAACTGCAAGATCAGCATTCATAGTTGTAAGATTAGAAAACTCACTACTATTATTCTTTACCTAAAGGAACATCAAATAATCAAATCTTCACGACCGTAATTCATGCATTTAGTGAACAGATATTCAATGATTAATAATTGTTTGGAAGTAAAAATCTTGAATATTTATTGATTCTGCCTGTCACATTTCCAACTTATCAAATAACAACTTAGAAAAGTTGATATATCAAATTATCCTATGGTTTATGAGTTTATTTGACTTATTATCAAACATTTAATCTACAATCATCAGATTTAAATTAAAATGATTCTATTTTTGTCTAGTTTTGAACATTGATCACTCTTTAAATCAATGGTCAAATTTTATTAATTTAAATGTTTAATTTCTAAATTATTTTGTTTTAACTAAATAAATGTTGAATAATTAACAATTGAGAGAAATACTAACATCATAGGTTGAGATCGAATCATTGAAATCATCAACCAGTTATTGTTAGACCAACATTAGAAACATGAAAGCACTGGACGGTCGTTTCGTCCTGGTATGGGACTCATCAGTAGTGCGCATCTACGACTCCTGTACCTCACAGGATTCGAAAAAATCATTAGTTTGACTCAATGAATGGACTTAATTACTACATCAGCTATTAACGTAGCCTAGACAGACAATAAATTAATATAACAACAATTCATAAGCATAAAAATTATGCCTATTAATAACTGATACAAAAGAATAATCAGTTATTATTTTGAAATCTATTTGAATTTTCTACGTGTAATTCTTTCAAATAATCATGTGACTAGAATAGAATTTTCCGGAAGTATGCCACATTTCTTTTTTTTAAAAAAACATTGCATTTAAACTACATTTTTATTTATTTTGACAAGGAAACAAGTAAATCAAAGTTTGAATTATCCGCTTATTTTGTTTTTTCCTTTTTTGCTCAACTATACACTGTTAAATTGTTCAATGATTTGTGTTATCTCATAATTATAAAAAATTAACCAATTCATAACATAGCAATGCGATACGTAATAAACGTTTACAGACGGAGTTTCACTGAATGTATCAGAAGTTTATAGTTGCGTTAAAAATAATATATATGAGATAATGAAAAAGTGATCATCTTTTCCTAATGCAGAAATAATTTTAACAGAAAAATAAAATAAAGTTAAATAATAATGGACAGATTTAACTTTTATTCATATAATTTATACAAAAGTCATATGTACTTGAAGACTGACAATAAGTGATGATTTCAGAAGTAATAAAAACTGAACAGATAGGTAGATTGATTTTAAAAAAAAAAGAAAGAATGCTCTATGGCTTCATTACTCACGTGGTTGTGAAAAAAACTGTCTAGTAACCTTTGCTTATCAGTGCTAAGTTTGTGATATAAATAGTAAACTAAAGAATTTTCCTTAAGTTTTCTATGCGAACAGTAATCAAAAACTGCATAGTCAGTACATTTGATAGGAGTTCTCGAATTTCTAGTAAGTGCCAGTGGTTAATGAAACTATCAACATCTTACAATAGGATTTTCAACTCTGATAACAATGTACTTGTTTTTAATTCTTTGGACTGAAAACACCATACATATATATGCTTTCGTGAATAGATTTTTAAGTTTATGGGGAATGTTAAGTTTCATTTAAATCATGAACTAATCATCCTAGTATTAGACTCCTCAAAAATGTTCATCCGCGACCCCATTTGCTGGAGCCGGACCCAGGAACTTTGGTTTTGTGAGCGAAAGCTTCGCCTCCGAACAACTGATTTGGCATTGAACGGTATTAATGACTACCTACAATCCAAGACCTCCACAAGTAGAAATCGAACTCAGGACCTTCAGTCTCACGCATACTGCTGATGAGTCCCGTACTAGGACGAAACGGCTGTCCAGTGCTTTCAAGTTTCTAATGGTGGTCAAACACTGACTGATTCACGACTTCAAAGTAATTCAACAATCTCCACAACCCTATAATCTAAATTATTTACCTGAAAATAATAAGCTTCTAATATATGATGTATATTTGTCTTTTTGTGTAACAATGTGATTCTTTTTTGGAGTTCATTATTAAATTATACAACTAAATAATCAGGAACAATCTGTTTATTCCTTTAGAGATTCGTCAGTTCATTGAGTACTGTATAACAAATTGAAATGAAGTTCAAGCACATTATTTATTGAGTTCAAGGAAAATAATTAACGTTGCTGAAACTACGTAGAGTTAAACAGTTTTATATAAAAGATTATTTCTAGTATTTCCTTAATTGATATTTAAAAAAGTAACAGTAACGAGTGATCGATATTTTTAAATCGATTCATAATCCAAGAACCACCTGACTGAATATTTTAACTAAAGATCAGAAATAATAACAAAAAGTTATAAAAGGATCCCTCCCTATTCTCTTGATGCATTGATTGCCATTCAGAACAATATCATCAACACATAAACTTGTTCGATTGACCTTTGTTGAAACAGAACAGTCGATCATCATCAATAATCTAAGGTCAGTTGTAAATAACAAAACCTACCTACAAAGACAACTAATCACATTAACAGTATTCAATAAAACTAGAAAAACCCATCTTTATCAACTCAACATATTCATAAACAAACATGATTAGTATTCAAATAACATAATATGAACATTGTTCACTGATCAACTTACACTTTCTATAAGTCGATCTATGGCTGTAATACGATGTTGTAATTCTTCAAATGCTATAGTCAATTCTGCTTCCCTCATTCGTGCTTCAGCTAATTCCGTTTGTAATGCTAAACTTTCATTGGATGGATCGACTGCTGCTTCTCGTTTTTCCTGAAGAAAAAAACAATATGAAAGGAAAATAGATACAAAGTGAAGCTAATCAGTTATTTACTTTATAAGTTTTATGTAATATATATATATATATATATATATATATATATATATATATATATATATATATATCAGTTGACTTTCACTGATTTAGCTACATGATGGTCACTAGTTCAAGATATTTGGCGTCAGTGATTAAAAGGACTCCACAAGAAGGTCTGAATACACAGATTTCGTCCTGGTCAACCCTCATCAGAAAGACAAATCTACTACATAATGCAACTGTTATTTATTATGGCATTTGAATACGAGTCACTTAAGGTGAAAGAAGAAGAATTGCGTCTGAAATATTTACACTGGAATTGATTGATATAGATTCGAGTCCGATAAAAAATGCCAATTTTGTTGAAATTACAAATGCGCTTTACTAATAAATGCCACATAGCATTACATTTATTTATTATTTGAGTGATTCTCGCATATTTGCTGTTTTTCCACTGTTGTTTACCTTCCTCTTGAAAATGTAACAGAAGATCATATTTTGTCTAGAAACTTTTCAATTATATTTATGGAGATCAGTGATTTCTTACATATTTGAACTCATCAATCAATCATTGTTAGACTACCATTAGAAACCTGGAAGCACTGGACGGCCGTCAAGTCCTGGTATGGGACTCATCAGCAGTGCACATCCACGACTCCTGCACCTCACAGGATTTGAACCCGGGACCTCCGTTCTTGTACGCAAACGCCTAACCTCCGGACCGCTGGGGTTTATCAGCCTCTTTACATCTTCGCTGAGTGGTGTGTATTAATCATAAAGTTAAGTAGGATGAGTGTGAGAGAAAAATGATTACCATGCCAATTCAAAAAATGATTTACAAATGAATATAGTTATTAATTTTTTGAAATTCTGTCCAGCGTACACAGATTGCATTCTACTACTTACAGTTTTAACTGTTTTTCAACATTTAAATACAAATTGTTAAGTGATTTCACTTTAAACAGTATTATCACATATTTAAATCTCAAATAGACATAGTATTAACATGTTAGTTAGTAATAATTCTTGAAACAAGTTATAATTTAAAACATAATTGAAAGTTTGCTTTTTTTTGTTGTTGTTGTTATATTTTAAATAAATTCTGTATTGAATGCATAAATATTATTTTTTACACATTGAAATCATCAATCAATCCTTGTTAGACCTGGAAGCACTGGATGGATGGTAGTCTAACAATGATTGATTGATGAGTTCAGTGTGCAAAGAAACACTAATCTCCATAACTCTGATTGAAAAATCATAAACTTGTGATCACTAGTGACTAGCTTCGTGAGGAAATTCTCGGGGTTCTAGTGAGAAAACGTGACCACTGGGGTTCACCCCAGTCGGGTGTAGGCAGTAACCACCAGAGGCAAATCGGTAAGGTTGCAAAAAATATGTACATTGATCAGAGTTAGACATTAACACCGTTGGTCCAGAGGTTAGGCGTTCGCGCGCAAGGCCAAAGGTCCTGGGTTCGAATCCTGCGAGTTGCAGGAGTCGTGGATGCGCACTACTGATGAGTCCCATACCAAGACGAAACGGCCGTCCAGTGCCTCCCGGTTTCTAGTGGTAATCTAACAATGATTGATTGATGATTTCAATATGCAACAAACACTAATCTCCATAACTCTCATTGAAAAATTGTGAAGATTATTATTGATTAGTTTCACGATTCAAGAACGTTTGCTATGAATCATGAAATTCATTTAACTTTATTTTCTTTTACTGTATACACTTCATGTATGAGAAATAATTTCATCACTAGTAGAATTCATGCATAAAATTATTGAAAATATAATTTAATTGTAAAAACATATTTCATTTTGAATCGGTTTCCGTGTGATACTTATAGTTACTATTCGTATCTGTTCTATCTATTCACAATGAGAGATATACGTGCGCATATACAATCCCAAATTAATATGAACACAAATGAAGAAAGCAGTGAGAGTTTCAAGGCTGAAGAAATTAATTATATTCGAAGTATTAATTATCTTCTATTGAAATGTATCGAAACAAGAAGTATACAAGTTGTGAATATTTTTGTTAAGCTTATAACTATTAGTAGTAATTACTACAAGATTAATTTAAAAAATCATTCATTATATTGTTATCTCTATAAACAAAATTGTTTTTTTTTAAAAAAAACAAGTTCCCATTAATTGATACATATTCAATGCAGAATATTAAAAATAAAAACATTGATAATTGAATCAAAGGATCATTGCTATTCATTGTTAAACGCTAAATTACATAACTAATTAGTATTAGTTTTATTTCTTGAAAGCACCTAGACTTCCGGTTAACTGGTGACAGCATGTTTTTTTCAAAAAATAAATAAATGATGACGTTTACACTTTTCAAGTAAAGAATCAAGGTCGTTCAAGTTTCAATTGTATTATGAATACAGTTCAAAGAATTAGAACACTTTAGTCTGGAAATAAAGCCATTATTGATTTTTTCTACAATTTATTATGTTGACGTATTAAGAAGTTATTTCAAGTTAGATTGGTGGATATATTCAATGAAGAGAATTTATCATAATTGTGTTGATAATTTACTCAATGATTGAATTGTGTATTTTAGTTTTTAATTGCTTCTCACTAATCAGCTATCATTATTATTATTGCACATTGAAATCATCAATCAATCATAGTTAAATCATTATTAGAAACCTGGAAGCACTGGAAGGTCGTCAAGTCCTGGTATGGGACTCATCTGCAGTGCGTATACACTACTGCTAGCAGGATTCGAACCTAGGACCTTCGATCTTGCGCGTGAACGCATGAACTCGAATCCTGCGAGTTGCAGGAATCGTGGATGTGCACTGCTGATGAGTTCCATACCAGGACGAAACGGCTGTCCAATGCTTCCAGGCAATCTAATGGTAGTCTAACAATGATTGATTGACGATTTCAGTGTGCAATAAACACTGACCTTCATAACTCTAATTGAAAAATTATTATAATCAAAAATAATAATGTTTGAAGCTCTCAACATAAATTTCATCACTGATAATAAAAACATATTCCAAAATGTGCTTTCCATGTCAATATTTGAACACTAAATCGTGATCAAATACACGAGAGGCATTTGGTTTTTGTCAACATCAAAAGTTTGAATAGCCATCGTCTAAGTTACTATAGTGTACATGAATAACAAATTGTACATGTGAATAACTTGATAGTAACAAGAATTTTAAATATGATTCCTTCATTTTCTGTCCTATAATTTAATTTATTAAATATCACCGTTTTAAATCAAACTAGTACATAAAATACAAAGACTACTTATTAGAGTAGTACATAGTTCTAAGTAATTTCTTCTTTTTTTAAGGAATAACTCAAAAGGATTATTATTATTATTATTATTGTCATTATTATTATTGTTATTATTATTATTATTATTATTATTATTAAGATTATACTTGATCTAAGAATCAGGCGTGTAACTACACTAACACATTTCCGATCATATCCAGTTTCAAAGTTCAGAGTGAAATAAACGATCTTCCTACAAACCCATTTAGTATTCTGAATGAACAGTTTTCATAGAGAATACAGTTAACACATGGTAGAATTACTAAATATGTAGAAATATCAGTACAGACTGCAAATTGAGTCAGTTTTATCACTAAAATTTATTTTAACAGTCTACCGATAATCAGTAGAATTCAAAAAGCTTATGCTCTACAATCTGACTGTAAACATTGAAATCCTATCTTGTAAATAATTACAAGAAATACCAACAGATGTATGATGTGAAAATACTATCAACTGAATCCAAAAAACAGGATCATATTGTTTGTTATAATCAATATTACGTGTCTGTTCACAATCACCAATTCAATGTTATAGTTTTTTTTACAAAGTGTAATATACTACTTACCGATGATTAGTAATATCGACGGAACCTATTCCTACTTTCATAGAACTTATTTGACATGAACCATAAACAGATTTTGTGAACTGGACCTAGCAAAGAACCCTATATACATATTCGCTTTAGTTTTGAACAGACTTTAATTAAACAATTCGGTTGTTTAAATGGCTGTCAATTCGATAGGAAAATTAAACTGTAACAATATTTCAGTGTCATGAGAGTTTGGAAGAAAAGAAAAATATTCACAGCTTTAGTTAGAACATGGAATTCATTAGAACATTTCTTTCTCTCATAGGAACTCATAACACTTGCATCTTTTATTTGCATGCCGTTGTGAATTTCACACAAATCGATAACAAATGCTACATTTAGAAACACACTAGACAACCTTGAGATCCTTCAATCTTAGATTTTGATAGAAGCACACAATAATCTACAATAGACATTGTGCCATCACTTTGCAACATTGTTAATGTTTAGAGAAATAAACTTATCAAAAATGTATCCATTTACAGAACCAATAGCTTAGGATTGCAATTTTAAAGTTTTTATATTCTTTAGAAATACCGATCCGATACTCAACGGAAGGTAGAAGTAATATGAACGGCGAGTAATATGAAACGTAAGTAGTTATTCCTTTGAATGAGTTCATCTGTATTATTTTTTCAATAAAAATTGTTTGATGGGACTTTTATTGTAAACTATCCTCTTCGGTTTATTAATTATTGGTTAGAACTCCTATTGAGGCGCCTCTAGGATAACTGCTAATCCCAAACTTTGATAAATAAGAAAAGTTAGGAGTGGGTTAATAATTTCACCTCATAATAAGTACCTCACTAACTAGAAATCATTGTCTTGTCTTCCAACGATTGAAAAATAATATATTGTTAAATAATGACGGATCATTTAGTTTTTGTAGCAAAAATGTTTTAATTAGGCGCCTGTTGCGATTTCAAAAATAGCAGTGTTTTACAGTCATGTATTTTATATTGATAACTATATGAGTTGTATATCTAAATAAATACTTTAAGCGAAGTGCTCGTAATGGTTTATTTGATCTTTTATTGTTGTGACTGGAAGTTTGAAAATCGAGCAATATTTTGCAGTATTGAGTAAAATGGAGTATAATTAAAATTTATTAAAAAGAACGAAGACGTAGTAGCGAAAAACATTTACTGTTCGACGATATCATTTTCTGAAGCTGTACAATCATATGTATGGGTAATCTTTCACGTCGTAATTTATAGTAGAATAGAGGAGTTTTACAAAATTATCAGTGATAGTCAAACTTATTCAAGTGGATGACAATGAAAATAAAGTGGAATTTGAGTAATATAGTCAAGATTATCATAAGTTTTCAAGTAATGAATATAGTAGTAATAATAATTTATAAATGGAAGGGTGCCATTTCAATGCAATTGAAGTTTTCAAGTGTTGGACAAAAAGAGGTTACATCATTTAGCAAAGTAATTAAAAAGCAGTGATAAGTGGTAAAATCTATACAATGTGTTGGGGATGTTAGATCCCTAGAAATCACTCGATAAATGTCTTTATTTTAGATTTTAGTCATGGGCTGATCAGTTGACCTTGAGATCATATTTCTCACCAGGAAAACACTTGGCTGTGATTGGAAGATGAATCACAAGGTGGGTTGTAACATGAGTTTATCAAATGTTCAGGGGTTGAGCCGGCTAACTGATTTTCAATCTATTATAGATAATCATGCAGGATAGTGCCCGAATATTCTTTTAACAAATGCACACTTTGTTCGGTCAATGTAGCTTGCTTCACATGGGCAAGCAAACTGATAAATACACAATGAGGTGACTCAAAGAGACAGTCTACCCTTGACACTACTCTGAATGAGTTTATTGCTGGAGAAAACAGTTCATAGTTTGCTGAATATATCATCTTTCGTTGTTCTCTGTTCTTTAATATCTCGGCTGTCGTATCTCCCCTGAATTCAACGTTCACGAACAAAACTTTCTTTCGAACAGTCGGAATACTTTCAACCTGACGTTCAGGTTTTAGATTATTGTTAATGAACCTTGATGGGCAGCCGCTCTCCAAAAGTGTTCGTCGTATAATATTCAGCTCATCATCTAATGTCTCCACTGTATATTGGTCTGGCTCTTGAGGATAAAGTATGAATCAAATATCTCTTGCTGCTCAGCAACACCTAACTTTGAAAAATCATTGACTGCCCATTCCAGGTAGGATTTCTGTACAACGATCGCTTTCGATACTCATCTGGTCTCCATTTTTCGTAAAACATCAATAAAACGGAATTCAGAATTCAGCTCTACTTCCATTGTGAACGTAATCGAGTGGTGATAATTGTTGAACTCTTGTATTATTTTATTAAAGTCATAGTTTTCGTCACCGATGACATAGTTATCGTCAATATATTTTCTGTAAAAATAAAATTAATCCATTACTGCTTGGAGAGTAGTATTCTCCATGTTAGCTATAAAACAGCCTGCTAGGAGAAGACCTAAAGGAGACCCCATAGCGACACCGTTTAGTTGTTTGTAGAAATCATTGTTACACTTGAATTGTACATCAAAAGTGCAGAGTAGAAGTAACTCTTTAAGGTAAGATTTAGATACGTCGACGTCGACATCATGAAGGTCAATATCATCGCACGAAAAGTAAATAGTTTCTGTGAGCGGAACATGCATAAACAGACAAGCAACATCTAACTACATCTGATGCATTGACTTTAGTTATTGAGTTGATCAAACATAACTAATTTATTGAATAGTACGGTAATTAATCAATTATTATCAGTTTTTTTGCAAGACGAATATTATTTTCGATAGTTTTTGTCAAGTTCAACGGTTTGTTTTCAATTCAAATCGATAATCAAGGGATATAAGTTAATTTCAAAGCAAAGGTATGGTTAAGAATGTCAACAGCTTTATGTCAGAACATTCAGTTAGGAAGAACCAATTAATTATTTTCAATAATTTGTTTTATTCAGATCAACTCAGATTTGTTTCCTATCTGAAAACCAAAAAGGAGTATTTATCTTTGTAATAGAGCCAAGCACGTACACTTCCTGTACCTATTCACTTCCTCTCAACATTTTTATCACTTCAATTTATCATATACGATTGTCTTGAGTAGGTTTTTAAACATCTAACATTGATCTGAAACTTATTAGTTCTAATAAACACTGCTAATTATTGACTCTTGGTCAATAAGTCTCATGGACATTTCACAAAACAGACTGACATCACATGTCTTTCCTCTTCAACACAATTAAACTGACAAGTCACACTTTTCTCAATCCCTTTTGAATATCAAATATTTCGATCTTACCAAGCAAAGTCGTCTTTTACCCTGTTTGTCTTTACGGTATTTATTGCCCTCTGTATTATCCTAATTTCTTTATCTTAGTTTTTAAGTAAAATTAACAAAAAATACCAATGATTAGATATCATTTCCAATTTATTTAGCTTTCAATGGTAAATATAAAATAAGTTTTTATTCCCAAATTAATTTTTCCAAATATATATATATACATACGTATATTATTGATATACTTACACGTTCAATCAGTGTGATCTTTTGTCGATAATCATCAATTCGTGATACAAGTTTTTCATTCTCTTCTAATAATTTCGATATTTGTGATCGTAGTAAATCGATTAAATCTTGATTCATTGCTTCACGTAATGGATAATGAAAAGAATCTATATCCACATTAGCATTACTATTGACGATATTATTGGACGCTACTGTAGCAATGGTATTATTATTATTATTATTATTATTATTATTGTTATTATTACTAAGATTAGTTGAAATAACTCCCATTTGACCACTGTTGGAACTACTAGTAAAACCAGCTCCACCATCCTCATTCGTATCGATCGATTTCAAAATTTGAATTTTTGTCTCATTCGAAGCAGGTGCATTAGATTCTTCCATAGTGTTGTGATATTGATTAGTCGGTAGAAATTTATTAGGTGTATATCGATTTGGATTGGTTAGTTTATTAGTATTATTATTATTATTGCTGTTATTATTATTATTAAAATGTTCTGGTGACCATCTGTTATTGGTTAGATTATATTCAGATGTTAAATTGCCTAATTTCGAATGATTTGTCATTCTACTAACAGTATTGACAGTAGTATTATTACTACTATTATTTTGATGATGTCCTATCGATTCAAGTGAAGATGTTTTAGGCGTTAAAATTGAAATTGAATGTGTTCTAGTTGTATGATTCCAATTTTCTTCACTTTGAAAATGCATTGGTTTAATTAGAATTCACTGTAAATTTTGTAACCTATTGAGAAAAGAAACGATTAAAAAAAAAAGATGGAAGCGTTTGTTCATTGATCATTAGTAGATAAAGAGGAGTGAACAATGTCTAAAAATAACTCAAAGACGTTTTGTACTTTTCTACCGATCAATAATAATCATAATATTTATACATGTGACCTTGAAATAAAGACACTTTTTAAGTGGAATGCGTTTTTTTTTATTGTTCTGATAATCGAATCTGCGTTTCGACAATCTGTAGCAGTTTAGCTACAGTTTAGCTCAATAAACTGTTACAATTTTCTAGTTTTCATTCATAAAGTGTCGGCTTCTTTTCCCTTTTCAAATAAAAGCTCGTTCCGTAACAATTTCATCCACTATATAACCACGTCACAATATTATCCTCTTCCAGAAAATTAAGGAAGAAGAGATCAATGATCAACGTTTGGTTCAGAATTCAATCTCCATTTTCAATATGAGTTTTTTTTGGAAGCATGGTTATTGTAAGGTCCTAGGTCTACCAAGTTTATTTGCTATTAAGAAAATCATAAATCAAGAACTGTTCTATAAATGGTTTGCAAGAAGATAGATATTATGGTGTTAGCATATATAGCTAAACAAACAGAATACAGACATAAATATCAGAAATATGTTAAATTTGAAGTGAATTGCTTGATGAAAACTACACTCGAATAGTCAGTCAGTCAGTCACCTAAAACGTAGAACATCGTGCTTATGTACATCAGTTCAAGTTGCCATAACACATTAGCACAGAGATGTAGTTGTCAATTCGACTCCCATAGTGGTGGAGATAGTAGAAGTACATTCGAGGAGTATAATCCAGTGAAATGAATTTTGAAAAAGAGAAAGATAAAGGTGTTAAGGAATTCAGATTAAAACTTGAGAGAATAAAGAATGGATACACCTGAGCCACTGCAAACGATTTTCAGCCATATCATTCAAGGTCTCTAACCATCGGTTACTATTGTCTCGTGGACCCCAACCAAGCACAGTCTAGACTTACTAACATGGCTCAGTCCAGTTGTCAGTGACTTCATGGATTTGTGCCATGTTTTAAGTTTGACCTCCCTAAACTACTGCAGCAGTAGGTCACAACATACATAAAGGAAAAAGCGAAATTCTTCGATGCAACACAACATGCACCAACCAAATCACTCTTGATGGAGATGCCTTGGAGGACGTTAACACCTTTACATATCTGGGCAGCATCATCGACAACCAAGGTGGATCTGATGCAGATGTGAGGGCATGGATTGGCAAAGCAAGGGCTGCATTTCTACAGTTGAAAAATATCTGGAACTCCTAACAACTTTCAACCAAAACCAAAATCACGATTTTCAATACAAATATCAAGACAGTTCTACTGTATGGAGCGGAAACCTGGAGAACTACCAAAGCCATCATCCAGAAGATACAAGTGTTTATTAACAGCTGTCTACGCAAAATACTTCGTATTCGTTGGCCAGACACCATCAGCAACAACGAACTGTGGGAGGGAACAAACCAGATTCCAGTGGAGGAGGAAATCAGGAAGAAGCGGTGGAAGTGGATAGGACACACACTACGAAAAGCGCCGAACTGCGTCACGAGACAAGCCCTCACATGGAACCCTCAAGGCAAAAGGAAAAGAGGAAGGCCAAAGAATACATTACGCAGAGAAATAGAGAAAGATATGAGACGAATGAACAAACATTGGAAAGAACTGGAAAGGGAAGCCCAGGACAGAGTTGGTTGGAGAATGCTGCTGGTGTGCGGCCTATGCTCGATTGGGGGTAACAGGCGTAAGTAAGTAAGTAAGTAACTTTGTTTCGGCCTACTTCTTTATCAGACAGTTTAGCTCGTCGAGGTAGCCGGTGGTTGGGCATGCGCGTAACACATGTCCCAACTGATGAACATTTACTAATTCATCAAACGATTTGCCATCCTTACCTAACATCCTGTTCCTAACCCCAGCATTGTTTTTACTTGATTGTTCCAGGATGTACAGGTGATGATACCTAGAAGACACCTATGATGGAATACGAGTAACCTTCATTCTTAATGGCCATAACATTTAAATATGCCGCATTAACTCACCAAATAAATGAAGAAGCCGTCAAAGTGATGGATATAAGATGATACTTATTGGACTTTGCAGAAAATCTCAGTCATTTTCTTTTGTATAGATATCATTCAAACATTAACACCGTATCATAAACTTTATTTAATAATCACTTATTAATTTATATAACAGATTTGTTAGAAGAAATATTGTTCATTAAAATAATCAGTAGTATACAATCATAATGTTAAAATACTTTATTTATTGATTGATTGACATTCAATACAAACTCTAAATTATAATATTAGTATAGATTGAAAACTTAATGATTACTATTAAGAGAGAAAGATAGAAAAAAATTATTTTTTAAATTCAAAACTTCTACTTATAATTAATTTTAAAAAATTATTAAAATTTCAATTCATTTTAACATTATTACTTTATATTTTCTTGTCTGACTTATGAAATAATTGTATAAAAAACTTTTCAAGCTTTGATAAGCTAAAAATTTCTTTTTACATCTATTATTACTTTTATTCTTATAAAATATTCTGCATTGGTTCATAGAGAAAAATGTCATATGTATATACACTATCAGACAATTAATATCAGTATCATCAGATGAAGAAAATATATTCTTATATATTGTTTGTTTTAAAAAAATAGTGAAAATTTCAGAACAATGAAAGATGTTACATGTAATTATGAGAATGTTTTGTTTGTCAAGTTACATAATCATGGTAAATCAGATTGTAGCTTAGACGCATGCTGTTACGGGTATGAGGGCGGATATCACTTCCCGGTTGCCCACACCATGGAAGGATGTTTCTTCAGGAACCTGAAAAGGAAGGTAGATTATTGTCGGTCTTAGAGACCTGGAAGCGTAACCGAAGAGCCCAAGGGACAACTGCTTGAGGCTGGTCATGCACGGCCTTTGTATAGGTAGTATTTAAAGTGCTAGCTCCGCTCTTGTTTAAAAGGCGGAAACCGAAATCCGTGACGCAAGGTGAGGCGTGACATTTATAGGGTCCACCTTTTCTAACCACTTCCTTCCTTGTGAGAAGGCGACATTGCTGCAGATGCTGGTTGTCCGAGGGAAACACCTTACTGCTGTCACACCCCTCTGCAGTCAGAAGTACGACTTCGCCCTCAGACCTTGAGTAGCTGCTTTTAGTTTCATCGTTCTCCAATCAACCTGCCTGGCATGGTAGAAACTTCAGGAACATATGTTCCAGCCATTATAGCTCCGTCGGTTCATCACGATAGGCAAGCCCGATCACCACGTCAGGATAGCAGCTACGGTCCCAATGCTTAGAATTGACAACCATATAATTCCTCACTGATGTAGAGAGTCATGCGTTTTATACACATACACACACACTGGAGCAAAGTATGTGAACTGCAGTTTTGTTGATTGAAAATCTCCTAAAAATAATAGTGAGAAACATTCTTTGTGTTCCTTACAGAATACTTTTCTAGTAAGATATGAGAAGTAAATGTAAATGTAAAGACAAGGTGATTGTTTTAAGACTTAGGATGGAATATCTCTAATAATAACGTGGTGTGTTTGATAATCGATTGCAAACAGTTACATTTTCCAATATATATTTATTTACGTACAGTATCAATGCTAAGGTAGTGAAACTGTGATTAGTTAGTTTAAGGCAGTCAACCAGAAGTAGAATTCTAAAGTGGCTGGTAATCTTCGTGGAGTTGCAGATGCACTTTGCCTAAAAGTGTCAACTAGAAACTAATCTAGATTGATAGTTTTGTTTTGATTACTTCCAATCATGAGACATTAAAATATAATCAATGGGAAGTCTTATTCAATCAAACTAGTTAGTTCATTAACATTAGGGACCAGAAAAACGCGATACTGGTTACAAACCATTGGAATGCAAGTTATACTCGACCAATGAATTTACACATCATGAAATCAATCAGTAAATAACTGTTTCTTTTTCATATTGAGATGAGAACAACCATCTAAATCTTTCCTGTGATGATGGAGACTGAAAAAACGTTGAAAAAAAACATAGAACTGATAATCTGTAAAGTTTGCATATTGGTTTAAAATATTTCTAAAGTTATGCAGATTAAAATAAATATTTTTGAAACCATGAACCGATCAATGTCAGACCACCGTTAGAAACCTGGATGCACTGGACGGCCGTTTCGTCCTGGTATGGGACTCCTCAGCAGTGCGCATCCACGACTCCTGCACAACGCAGGATTCGAACCCAGGACCTTCGACATTGTGCGTGAACTGCTGAGGAGTCCCATACCAGGACGAAACGGCCGTCCAGTGCTTCCAGGTTTCTAATGGTGGTCTAACATTGATTGGTTCATGGTTTCAAAAACGTGTAACCTAACAATCTTCACAACCCCGTAATGTAAAATAAATATAAGAAGATTTTATCTGAATAATCTTGAATCCATACATAGTGAAAATATATAATCAAATGTTGTTAATAACTGTAAGAAACTCTAAATATTATCAAACACTTCCTTTGTGAATCTGACTGTTTAATTTTGGTGTGTTCAACATTTCTAGGATAGTAGTTTGATAAAATGCATTAAGTATCCATTTCACATTAATTTATTGGCATGGAGTTCAAAATGATTCATGTTTCTGTTGAAGCAACAGATTTAATTTTTTTTACATTTCTTTGGAATAAAGCGATTAGTATGCGAAACTATTTGAGTGAAATCGCGAACAGCTCGTACTTGAAGACTTGTGTTATAAAACCAATATACCTTATATATATATACCAACAAATAGACCTTAAAACGCTTACTCATAACTCATTACATTACAGTACAAATATTAGCGGTATCATTTTGTTATATTATTTTTGGGATAGCCAATCGAGAAGAAAGCCACGCACATTGTGGTTTGATGAACTATTTGATTAATGTTCATGATGAA